AAAAAAAAAAAAAAAAAAAAAAAAAAAAAAAAAGGCTTAAACCACACACGTTGTTCTCAGCCTGCTTTATTCATTTATAGTCTAGTCAACATCTTTCTGTGTCAGTGTCTTTAGACCTGTTTGTAAGGAGCACTTTGAGGCTACCAGGGTGGCCTCAACCTACTTTTTGCAGAAAAGCAAAAATGAGTTTTTCAGACATGCAATGTATGATGCTTGCTTATTAGAATATTTCTGTAGATTGCATTGAGGAGATTAATGAGTATTTCATATATTGGACAATGGAAAACCCAATATACTTTAGAGAAATCAATATTTCTTATGCAGTGAGTTTTGCTGGTTTCTGCAATTCCTGTCATACTAGCGTATCAGTATCTGAGCCAAAGGAGAGAGAATGCATGAGTGGACTTCATCATAAAAGAAAAGGGAAAGTAACTCAACACCAAACTTAGGGAGCTACCTGAATTTTTAAATCAATTGCAGTATTATTGATATGGTTGACTCCTTTTCATGTGCAGGAAGTTATCATGGTTTAAATTATTGAATTTTCTTTTGGTGATGATAACTTGCTATATTCAGTATTTCTGTTCTTTTGTATAGGACCCAAACTACTGGATACAGGTGCATCGCTTGGAACATGGAGATGGAGGAATACTAGACCTTGATGACATCCTCTGTGATGTAGCAGATGACAAAGACAGAGTGAGTTCAAGTCCAGGGGAAGCTGTTTGAATGCAGTTTTTGAGCATTGGGGAGGGCGTGGGTAGATAGGAGTACTTTCCTTTCTGTTTTACTTTAAAGAACCCTTGGTCCACCCACTCTAGAGTGTTTTGTTTTATAATTGGTCTCATGACTCTTCACTACCCTGAATGCAAGGGTATAATGATTTTCTTGATACTGGGGACTTAATACTAAGTTTTGGAATTTTAAAATTGCAACTTTTAAAATGGAAATATTGCAAAAAGGTTTCTGTGCTATTTTCCCCTTATTTTAACTTAGTATAACATCTTTTTTGACAATTCGTTATGATTACTGTGTTTCAGGGTAGGATACACAGGTCTCTGAATTCTGGTCCCAGCGTGGCTCAGAAATGATCTGTCCCCAGAGCTGACTGGTGCTGTATGCACTGACCTTGCTACATGGTGAGCGGGTGCATCCCAGGCATCCACCCTTGTGGTGCACTTGGTGGCCTGAGAGCCGTCCTTTTCTCTGTCATTGCCCTGGACGTGCTTCACTCCAACACCAGCTTCAGTGTAGTCCAGGAACGCGGCCACCCACGGCGCTTCCCTGTTACCTTGCCTCCCTCCCCCCGACCTTGTTTCCGTACTCTCGGAAGGAATGAGGAGGAGGAGGAGTGATTCTCAACATTTTAAAAATTTGTGACAGCATGTTTGGCCCTGTGTATAGAAGTCAGCAAATTCTTTATTGCAAAGAGATGATGAGACTTGATCAGGCTGATAGAGCTGTTTGCCCATGCCCCTTTTGTGTTTGACTTGTACCGAAATTGCAGAAGGGCTCACGGCCATACACACAATTGTGTCATCATGGCTGTGCGGACCTACCTGCCTGATAGTCCGACCTCCTCATAAAACTTCACTGTAACAGCACGGGGTCTTAAACAATAAGCCAGGTTCTGTCATGAGGTTGGAAGATGGTCAAACCTTCTGGCCGCTCACTCTGGTTCCTTCTGGGGTGCTCTTTAATTACTGGCCCTTGGCCTTGTCCTCCAGTCCATCTGCAATGCCT